AGAGACAGATGTCGAACGCTGCCGAACGCGGAGGCCGATTGTGCCTCTTTGTCGCTCGTTCCGCGCTCTCGCTTGCACTTCAAGTCTTAAATGGAACGCCTCAGAGCGAGGTAACGCCGCATGAGTCATGTTTTTTCGTGCGTGCAGCCGGCTCTATCGAATTATAAGACGTTGCCACGTCAAAAGCAAATCAGTTACTATCATGAAGAATTATAATTAAGCCGAAAGGTGTGACGAAGAAAAACTGAATACCGTATTGTATCCCTATTTGATGTACCTATAGGAACTATAAGTAAAATACAATTCCAGCAATTTATGTTCAGTTTTATTTTCTTAATTTCATTTTAGTATCTAATATATTAGCCAAAGAATAAGTTTATTTAATTGCTTAGGATTATAAGAAAATAAAACACACACATGGTCGTCATGTCTTTTCGTTTTGTCAGCGTTGTGCTGGCGTGTATAGTACATTTAGCAATAGACGCTGATGTATATTTTCCCATTTAACGGTGACGTATGATCGCAGAAATGGTTTGTGACCCGGGCAACGTCGGAAATGAGTAATATACTAATGATAAACGTTTTTAAATACTAATTCCAGTTAATTTGAAATATTCGCATGTATTTTAATTCGTTAATAAGAGAGCAATGTTTCCACTTCCAAGAAGGTGTTAAATAAATTTTGTGGTTACATCACCATACATATTTCTTTTATGAATCATGTACTTACCAAACTTATTGAACTTCAAACAGGTATATTTACAATTGCAGTTCGGGTACGGAAATCCATATAGATAGATTATAGGGTTCCGTACCTCAAAAAAAAAAACGGAACCCTTATACCTTATAGTACCACTTTATTGTTCGTCTGTCTGTCCGTCAATACTCTTTTTCTCAGGAGCGCGTAGCGATATCAATTTGAAATTTATATCAAACACTCAGGTCAGTAGTCTCTTGAAATTATCAAAAAATCGAACTTTTAAATCAACACAATCAAAAGATACGGCTGTTTATGCCACATATTTTGGTAAAACCTATAAGGTACATTATATGGGTGCGAAATATAGACGGTGGGCGCGATGGAAAAAAAGGTTAGAAGCGTTTATGGAAGTTATTAAGACATAGGCAACATAGGTTGGTAGAAATAATGGAATAATTCACATTTATCATAACACTTGAGCTATAGTCACTTCACATAAGTTTTTTACAATATATAGTAAAACTGGTGGTAATTTCTACGTTTGTGAGAAGNCTATAAGGTACATTATATGGGTGCGAAATATAGACGGTGGGCGCGATGGAAAAGAAGGTTAGAAGCGTTCGAAATGTGGTGTTATAGGCGGATAATGAGGATACCGTGGATAGAGAAGGTTAGAAATGAACAGGTACTAGAAAGAATAGGAGAACAGAGGACTTTATGGAAGTTATTAAGAAATAGGCAAGATAGGTTGGTAGAACACCTTGTCAGGCATGAAAGTCTAGTTAGAGACATATTAGAGGCCGAAGCAGGAGTTAAAAGGAGTATAGGCAGACCTAATTTAGATTACTGTTCGCAAATAGTTCAAGATGTGGATTGTTCTAGTTTTAGGGTAATGAGAATATTAGCTCAGGATAGGAAAGAGTGGAGATGGGTGTCCAACCAGTCTTAGGACTGACGACCTTATGTTGATGATAAGGTACTTCACGTTGACCTAAAATCATGATATTTGACAATAGGCAATGCTTTATAGCACAAGGGAAATCCATAAATTTATAATTACATCATGAAGTAAATAAATTTTTAATTGTGATATTGTAATTGTACATTTTGGGTGGAGACCTAAAAAAAGTTTAGGTATACGAAGGTAGTTTTTTATGCATTCGCACGAGAAAAGATATGGGAAATTGTCAAACGAACACGACGTGACACAAATTTGTATCTATTTAACTTCATACGTACCAGGATTGGGCATTTTCTCAACTTATTGCCTAATGTACTATTATTGTCGTTCATTGCAAAATTTTCATTCAAATAAAATCGTTACATTTAAAAATAATGGGATAATTCACATTTATCATAACACTTGAGCTATGTACACCAATGGTAAAAGCCGCTTCACATAATTTTTTTACAATATATAGCAACACTGGTGGTAATTTCTAATAGGTCAATTGAAAAGTCCCCGGCCTGACACATAGATAGCGGCACCAGAACTAAATCCATATGATTTTCAGTTAGTCCGATCCTTCAAAAGACGCGTCTATAAATTTGACGGCTGTCGGATCATTAGTTTGTGAATTATAGCATTTTTAGTGAAGCAACTTTTGTTATTGTGAAAAAAATGGATAAAAAGGAATTTCGCGTGTTGATAAAATATTGCTTTTTGAAGGGAAAAAATACAGTTGAAGCAAAAACTTGGCTTGATAACGAATTTCCGGACACT